CGGCTGTCCAGAAGCCGGGGACTGATCTGCCTCATCCAGGAGGAGCGCAATAATACCAACATGGGCCAGTGAAGTGACTGTCCTCCGCAACTAGACTGAAGAACAAAAGGACAGCAACTTGTCTGTTCCCCTTCCCCTGATTCCCCAGCATTGTTCCCCTCCCCCAATTCCCCAATAAAATCTTTTTTAAAAAAATTTTAAATCTAGTTCACCTGGATCAAAAGTTAATTTCACTTGGAGGTGAATTATCCACAACATGTGTTATAAGAAAACTTAAACAATACTCAACCTTAAGCTTGTAATTATAGGTCTATGTACTCACATTTATCTTCTAAATTAAAGGGAGCCTTTTAGAGCTTCAGGGTCATACAATGTCTGTGAAACAGTGAGGTCTTTTCTTTGCATTCAGTAGAAGCTCACTCTGGTGAATACATTGTGGTCGTTAAAACTAGTAGTAGTAGGGGCGGCCGGTTAGTTCAGGTGGTTATTGCAGGCTCATAACACCAAGGTTGCCAGTTCAAACCCCTCATGGGCCCTGAGCTGCGCCCTCCACAACTAGATTGAAAACAACTATTTGAATTTGGAGCCAATGGGTTCTGGAAAAACACACTGTTCCCCAATAAAAAGAAAAACAGCAGTAGTAGTAGTAATAGTAGCAGTAGTAGTAGTGATAGAAGTAATAATAGTAGTTGTAGTAATGATTAGGATTACAGCAAATATTTATTTAATGCTTTGGATAATGCCAGGCACCATTTTAAGGGTTTTTCCTAGATTTCCTAAATTAATTTTCATCATAATCTTTCAAGGTAAATACTGTTAATAAACCCATTTAACAAAGAAGGAAACTGAGGCACAGAAAGGACAATTAACTTTACCATTTGTCACATGACTCATAAGTGATCAAGCCAGGATTCAAACCCAGCGGGCTCGTACTATTGCCAAGACTTTTAACTACTATTTCTCTTCTCCCCTTGTTTTCTCCCGTGCAGGGTCAGTATCCCTAAAAAAGAATTCTTACAAATAACAAAAATGAGAGAAGACAGACATTAACATGGAAAAATTTCAATACTTAACATTCTTGAAGTGAATTCAGATGGTCCCATAGTCCACTATCATTTTAATGCCTAAAACACTGTGTATAAATACCAAGCATATACTGTAGCAGCATCTTTTTGGGTTTGCATGTGAAATCGTTCTTTCCTGGTTGGGGATTTAAGCATTTTACATTCTTCATAGGACACACACACACACACACACACACACACACACAAATTATCTTTTTTTATAGGCTAGTGCTCCCAGTATTTTAACTTTCTTCACACACCGTGATCACCACACAAACAATTCCCTGTAGTGTATGCCATTGTAAATGGAATTCAGAAATAAAGAGAGTGTGTGAATTCTATTGTATTTTTGAATTTACACTCCTTCTGTGGCCTGGAGTTATCCCAGTAGTAAATTTCACAGTAGTAGGCAAAGCCGGTCAAGGTCATTGTTCCTAGTGTGAATGACCCTTGGTTCAAGTCCAAGGTGGTCAACCTATTACCTTAGAAGGAAGGAAAATCTGTCTGTTCTAGGAGATGTCTTTAAGAAGCGAGAAAAGAATGTCCTGTTTGAGAACCTTTGCTTTTAGATAAGGGCCCTACCCCTGTCAATGTTAGTCAAGGTCAGTGGGGATTTTTTCTTTTTAATCCTATATTCTCATAAATCCTAGGCAGTATTCAGTGAAGGTTAGCACTCAGTCAAGATTTTCTTAGGTATTAAAACCTAAATTTCTGTGTGAACACGAACTTCAAGAAAAACATATTGCACATTTTTGCCTTTCAACCATTAAAGTATATGAAAAAGCTCTGGTTTGAAGTCAAGCCTCACTCTTTTGCTACTTGTGTACTACGAAATCTCAAATGTAAATTTAGCTTGCTATTTCCTTCAAGACTTTAGAAAATTCTCCCATACTTTTTAACTCGTATTTCGAGGCATTTTTTGTGATCTATAGATTAGAACCAAAGAGTATATCCCCTTATAGCTAGACTTTTCAAATAGCAACCAGTGAATGGGGGTTGCCTTCCAAGATTATTTACCTTTCTTAGATAAAATAAGTGTTTTAAATTATTTCTTTAAATTTTAATTTATATTTTATATTCCTAAATCTATACATATGTACTCTGATGTTGGTTCATAGTAAGTATTTCATTAACAATTGCATCCTTCTTAAAATAGAATTGCCTTGGGAAAAAGTAACCAAAGTCATTGGTCAAAGTTTTGTGGGTTCTTATGCTACCAATTAGAGATTTAATAGATGATAGATGACAAGCTCTTCTTTAAAATGCAAATACCATCCTCTGGATAATGAGGGCCGGCTGGGCTTTCCTATCTTAGTATACATTACTTTTAACACTGTAGGTTTGGCTTAAGTGAGAAGAAGGGAAGAAAAAATAATTTTATACTGTTAGAAAAACAAAATTCAGCTTAATATATTCCAAGATCTAATTGGTTTTATTAAGCGATTCATGAATTGGGCAAACTCCCATGGAGCAGCTAGAAGGGTACTTGGAGGGTTGTACAAAATAGAAGGTTTTTATATGAAGATGAATGGGGCAAGGGAGCTATTTTAAACAAGAAAATAAAGGATTATTTTTAGAACAGGGCATCATCTTTTGACGGGAAGGGAACAGGCAAGGGTTTTTATCACACAGGTTGCTTCTTCTTTCTCCCTGGGGGGTGGGGGAGTAAACAGGTCCCAGGTGACAAATAGCCTCATTGGTGTTGACTAGAAAATTCCAGATTGGTTGATGAAGATTATATTACTGGGAGAGGATGAAACAGCAATTAGGTCAGGTAATAAATCTAGGTTTGGTATCATCGGCCTTAGCACAAGTGACACCGCTGTGGGCCTGTGGTTTTCTCTTTAACATTACCCTAGGAAGTTTCTAGAAAGGGAAAGCCTTTGGGGTGTGCCGTTGACCTCAGAAAGACTTTAGAATAGTGTGAGGCTCTGAAAAGTGGAGCTGCAGGGCTTGATTAAAGGGAGTATAAGGAAAGGCAAACATTCCAAAAGGATAAATTTTAATTGCTTTGTAGTATAGCAACTATACTCTTTGCCTTTAAAAACTCTCCATGTTTACTTTCATAGCAAAAGTTAGTGATATTGGCTTTAGCTCCTCAGCTCTAGTTTGGTTATCTGGGTCTACTTGCTATATGCAGTAAATGCAATAAATGCAATGATTCTGTTTGACTTTACTTTGTTCTATTTAACTGAGAGATGCTAGATAACAGATTATACATTTTTAAGGAACAGGAGTCCACCCAAACATACTGAAACTATGCTAAAAACACTAGTGTTTGATTTTTATTACTATATAAATAGCACACTAACATAAAAGAGCTAATATTAAAACAAAAGTGAGTACTCTTTTTAGAAACATCAATTATTTTCAGTTTTCTTTGTTGCCCTTGTAGTTCATGACTGTTTGTTCTTACAAATGTATGAAATATAGTGTGGACAAAAATTATATTCCATTTTTTACTTATGATTTTTGTGCACATTTACTGCACAGTAGACCATTGGCTTGATGTATTTTGTTATTTTAATGTCCTCTCATTAAACATTGAAGTTGTTTCTCATTTTTTTCTAAGTTAATAAAGATCTTTATTCCTACAATGTTTTTCTCTTCTTTTAATATTTTAGTAAGGCAAACTACCAAAAGTGAAATTACTGGGTAAATGGGAATAAGCATTTGTATGTCACTTGATATCAATCACCAAATTGCCCCAATAGATACTCTTCACAGTAGTATATGAATGCGCTAGTTTTACCAGCCTTTTAAGCTTTGGATTTTATTTTTTTATTAATTAAATTGTACCTTCTGGATTTAGTACTCTATTATTTTTATTTTTTTAAGTTAATTTTTCTTATTTTATAAAAACTCTTTATTCTCTCTCTCTTGTTTGAATTGTCTACTCTTATTCCTTTGTCCATTTATCAATGGCTTAACCTACCATACTGGATTTGATATAACTATCTTAGCAATTTAATATTATCTTAATGCTTAGAAGCCTTCTCCATGTACTTGAAGCAATTCTTAATAGAAATTTTGGGTTAATATGCTTCCAGGTAAACCCTTCTTTGGTTTGTTTCTTTCTTTGAGATATGATATCTCAAGAGGTGAGATGCATAGTTTGGTAATACTCAACTGCCAAAGACAAACAAAGGAGAAAACACAAGTCATTTGGTTTTGCAAGGTTCTTGTATTTGAAATTTTATTCTCATTTTAAAGTAGGATATTTTAAAAAGTATTATGAATAAACTGATCCTTCAAAAAAGTTTAAAACCATAAGAACAGCACTGTTCCTTTGATGTTCAATATTTTCTGTACGCAGCCTTAGTCGAATGCCAGCAGATGGCACTAATTACATAAACAATTCAACAAGTTAATGAAGAGGGAAAGAAATGCATTGAGATGTTTCTTTTTTCTGTTCAAAGTTGGTATATGTTACAGACTCAACAATTATATGGGAGCTTATTTTTACAGTTTTCTCCCATGAGAAAAGCTATTCAGCCCAGTTTATTTCCAATTCATTGCTACTAAATTAAAATACCGGCTACCGATTCTTGCCAAGATGCTGCATTTGAAAAGTTTTGTCATGAGAAATGGGTTAGCTTATACCGTCATGATTGACTAAATCACATGGTAGGTTAAAAGCAATCATGTAGACATATTTGGACCCCAGGATTCAGAAACTGTGTTTGAAGCATTTAAAGGTTTAATCTTTAGATGCCTTTGTACTAGGTTTTTTCATTTCTTGTAGCAAGCATGTGTTATAAATGCCTGATAATTTGAAAAAACATCTAATAAATAAATGTTAGGGGAAAGAAGATACTCCAACTAGAAATTTCAGAGAAAACTGACATTCTTTCTTTTTCCCATGTGCATCTGTAGCAGTTGAACAAAGACCTCCGCCAGTGGCAGATAAATGTTGATGTGGTAAATGACTTGGCACTGAAACTTCTCCGGGATTATTCTGCAGATGATACCAGAAAAGTGCACATGATAACAGAGAACATCAATGCCTCTTGGGCAAGCATTCATAAAAGGTACGGTATACATTATTTCTAAAACAATCGTTGGCTATAATGATGGAATGATGACAGATGACAGTGGGTGGACACTGCAGATTTGTTTTCCCTAAACTGGAGCATGGGAGGACCCAAGATGACAAATTCTAACTCATCTCACAGGTTTTCCTGAGTCCTTCTACTTTACAGATGAGGGATGTGAAGACTGGTGAAATTACTTGGTTTGCCCAGAGTCACAAAGGTAGTAATGCAACTAAGAGATTAGACAAAACTGAAATACTGATGTGTAGCTACAAGTCCTTGATCAGTCTGCTCTGAGAATTCTACCCAAAGAAATATTGTTCTCTTCCATCATGGCACAGGCTGCCCCATCCTTAACCTGACAAGGAAGTCACTTAGCTTCATTAAGGAGTTATAGCTTGTCCATGGTGCTATCACTGTATTTCATGCCACACATCCAATGGGAAAATTTGTGTGGGGGTAACATGACTCATAGCTTCACTTCCGGCTATATATCTATGGAAATGAACAGCACTTAGAGACATGTCTCCTTATCCACTCTCTTAACCCCTTGTGCTTTTCTTTGCTTGGCATTTATCCTAATTATAAATAAAAACATGAATTATGTAACTAGCTGTTTAATGCTTGTTCTTCACATTAGTCTAAACTCCCTGAGGACATGGGCTACCTTTCTGATGTGATAGATCCTGGGGTCCTGAACCAGGCGATGTAATAGGGAGCTGGTAAATATTTGTTGAAGGATGACTCTCTTTGCATAATGTAGAGTTACCTTGTTCATGCTAAGGTCAGTTAAGGATTATTGGGTACTCCTTTATAGTTCTGTCAGAAAACGGGCAAAAATAGTACCTGTACAATGATGAGAAAGACCAATGAAATGTAAATGAGTTCCAGAAGATGACATAAATTACTGAAGAAGTCAGCTAGGTGGCCTTTGTTAAGAAGAAAGGGACGAAGAAGCGGATTTTGAACTAAGGGCAGAACCTTAGAAGTAATGACCTATTGATGTATGGAAATTGAGAGACCAAGTAAATCTTGAAATTTAGTTAGAGATTGACGAGTGAAAATTCCTGTGAAACTGGATTTACACTGGTGACCCTGGGAAAATAGAGCAGCTCTAGTCCTGAATTCTAGATAATGGGTGTTCAGATGACCATGGAAAAGAAGATTCAACCTGAAGTTGAGGAGTTATATTTGGGGCCCTATTAAAAGGACCCTAGTGGAGGGCGAGCTTGAATAGATGGCTGATAATTGGGAAAAAAAAATTCTCAAAGTTGCTGCTTTCTCTCAGTGGCAAGGTTTGGACATTCTGTTCCCAATGGTATCTGTTCGGTTAAACAAGGGCAAAGTAGGCTCAGGAACGCTTTTTTATATATAACCGATGGGTATCAGAGTCAATAGTTAGATCTCAATGGGAAATACCTGCTTTTCAAAGAGAAGCCTCTTTGGACAAGCAAATTAAGATCAGAAATTTTGTAAGTTTAGGGAATGTAAGCTAAGCAGGAACAAAAAAAAAGCCAAAACACTTGTTCATGGTACAAAGCTAGGGCTTAAAGGAAGGTCTGTGTCATTGATGCCACTCTTAGTGGCAGTCCCCTCTCTCCACATTCTCATGCTCCTTGAATCTCCAAGCAGCTCTCTCTCGGTTCTTGAGACCACTTTCTTAAGGTCTTTCGATTCCTCAGAGGAGGGACTTCTAGTTTGTATGTTTTGACTTGGTCCCTAAAAAGCTACCAGCTAAGGAAGGTGTAGTTATTTCTCCGATGGGTAAAGTAATATAGAATGTTAGAAGCAACGTTACTTCTAATTTTTCACTGGCCCATACAGAATCCACAATTTGCCAAGCTAATTTTGACTCATGCCTCTCAAGCTCTTCCCGGTTCCTTTCTCGCATACACTCTGAGAATTCATCCACTTGTGTAGTTTCAGTCTGCCGATGACTATCCATTTATACCTTTGCAGGTGAGAATGATATTTTGAGTTTCAGACCTGCATGTCTTACTGATTCCTTTTCATTTTCATGTCCCTCAGTAACTTCAGACAGACTAGGCCCAAAGCTGAATTCATCTTTGCCCTCTTTGAGCCTCTTTCTCCAAATGCAACCTCCTTCTCTCCCTCTGATCCCTCTCCAGTGAACATTACCATAGCCCATGCAGTTGTCTAAATCAGAAACTCATGCTCGACTCTTCTTTCTATAACCCCAAAGGCTAAGCTATCACAAAGCTATTTACTGCCTCAATAGCTGTCAAATCCGGTCACGTCTCTTCATCCCTACGCTGCGACTATCGTATCTTGCCTGAATGACATCATTCACCTAACTTGTTTCCCTCCTTCTAGTCTTCCTACTTCTCCCTCATTCTCTATGTAGAATGCAGGATGACCTTTCTACATATACTATACTCATGTGGCTCACCCTCCTCCCACTTTTGAAAAGAAGTTAGTGTCATATCTATTATTATTTGAAGACAGTTCACACTCCTTTAAATGACTTGAAGGTCTTGCATGATGTGGCCTTTCCTTAAAACGCCAGCCTAATTTTCTGCTCTGTCTTAATCCCCCCTCCCCCCAAATACAGTTAAGTAAGATTGAGCAATTTTCATTTTATCTTAGCAATGTTTGGTCTTCTCAATTACCCAATGACCTGATACACATACGTATGCATCACATGTATATATATGTACACAAATACGTGTGTCATATATACATATATATGTGTATATATACATTTATATGTGTGTATATATATACACAAATATTAATCCAGGTCTCAGTGTAAATGTCAGTTCCTCCATGAAGCCCTCTCTGACTGCCAACTCCAAAGCCCACGCTCTTTGGGTCCCCTATTATAGTGATTATCTCACTGCACTGTAGCTAAGTGTTTGCTGATCTTATTTGCCTATGAGAATGCTGGCTCTGTGAGGGGATACACATTGGCTCCTTGTCCTCCATATTACATAGCACTTAGCTTGGCACATAGTAACTACCCCCAAAACATTTTTTTATTAGATACGTAAACGAGCAAACAAAAAATAACTAACTACAAGTGTTTGGGTGTGCCAATAACTCAACACGGAAGAAAAACATATTTATTAGGATTCCTTTTGGTTTCAAGTCATAGAAACCCCAGTAGCTTGCCTTATAGAGGTCTGTTTGTCTCATTAAAGAAGTTCAGAAATAGGCAGATGCTGACGTTGACTCAACGGCTCAGCAATGTTCTTCTTGGCATTTCCCTCAGAACGTGTGCATTCCAGCAGGAAGAAGAAAGGAAAGGGGCAGTAGCCAGAAAGCAACAGCTTTCCCAGGAAATGTAGGGCCAGAGCTATGCCACGAAGCCACCTCTGGGAATTGGGGCAGAGCCAGCCAATAGATAATGTCTTTCAAAGTGCATGGCAAGAATCAACTGATAAACTGGCATGCTGCAGCTAGTTCCCTGGAGAGATAACCAGTCAAAGCTTTGAGTAAATACAGTATATTCATGCAGCTTATATATCCATGTACAGTATATTTGTACAGTATATCCACGTGGGATTGTAATGACACTGAGCCATTGGGGCTTGGTGGTTTTGATCAGTGTGAAAGGTCATGATGAGAGTTGGACTCTCTATTAGCTAATGATACCTTTACCTTAGAAGTTCACCTTCTACGTAGGCTATGTGCGTCAACTGCACAGATTAAACCATACTCTACTTGGCTACAGTTTCTCTTATTTTACATTCTTATAGATCTTGTGCTAGATAAAGTACAAAAAACACCTCTTGATATGATCTTTTGCATTTTGAGCTTTTTATCCAATATCTTGGCCAGCTAAACCCAGAAGTAAAGTAGCGTCATTGTCATCGTTCTCTACATGTGTGCTGCCCAGTAGGGTAGCCACTAGCCACAGGTAGCTTTTTAAATGTGAATTCATTGCAATTAAATACAATTTAAAATTTATCTTCTCCATCTCATCAGCCACCTTGCAAGTGCTCAGGAGCCACATGTCATGATTGGCTTCCAGTCAGACAGTGCAGTGTAGAACATTCTGATCGTCACAGAAAATGTTATCAACAGTCCTGTTCTAGATCATCTTTGTCTGTGTTCACTTAAGCAGTTTAGGGTACATTTAGAACAATTACATACTATATTACTTCAAAAGGAGTTTTTGCAAAACTTTATAAAGTGTTTCCTAACAAAGTGGTTCACATTATTTTATTTCCTTGTTTCTACCCCATTTCTTCTATTGATCCATTTCCTAGAGTTGGTGTTTAAAGTCTCAAAAACGGTAACTATCACAGGATAGAAACACTTTCACTTTTGTTATAACCTATAAACAAAGTTTAAAAAGGAGATTATTAATATTGATATTTGGATTATAGGGAAAAAGTATCTCATATCTTTCAAAAATATCTGTAACCAAGACTTTTTAGGTAGAAGGGACTCTGTTGAAAGCATTCTGATTACATCATTTCTCACAGTTCAAGCTTTACTACTGAACATTAATGTATCACCTGCACTGAAACTTACAATCATATGGATAAATACAGTAAAACCTTGGATTGTGAGTAATGTGGTTTGCGAGTGTTCCGCAAGACGAGCAAACATTTCTAATACATTTTAACATGGTAAACGAGTGATATCTTGCGATACGAGTAGTTTGGTTCCAGAACAAATTATGCTCACAAACCAAGGTGTTACTGTATATGCAAAACAAATTTGTACATTTGGAATCCTATTTAAAGCAATAAAATCATCAATTCAGTTTTAAACTATTGAATGTTAAATGAGGTATAAAAACTGTAACTTGAAAGAACTTTGATATCATACAGCAGCAGGCTATAGTTTCAAGATATAATCAAAATCAAAAGTTAACTAATTTTGTTTTGTAGTTTAGGGTTCAAGTGTATTAGTAGGTCAGAGGAATCTTCACATTCTACACTGGCTTTGATAAGACCTTTATTTACAATTTTATATAGATAAACAAATAGCCTTGTGGGCCCAAAAGGAATGCATCTGCCATTCGT